ATGATCAGATTATGTTTCTAAGATATCTCTTGGGAAAATCTTTCAAGGTCTATCTAAGAAAGAAGAAGGCGAAAATATAAATAAGTCTATTAAAATAATATAGGTATAAAAAATCTATTAAAACAAATTACCAAAGGAAGACTTCGTACAAAAGTCGCCTGTAATTTATAACTCTGAGGGGAAGTACTTATTAATAACGACAGCTTCGTTAACCATTCTTTGCAGTATATCCCGAAAAACCCACGCGGGTCATTCGAAAATCATCAACATGGTTAATTCCTGATGAATTTGTCAAGATATGCCAACTGACCTAACTTCTTCCTTACCTATTATCCCTCACTGGTAACCCGCCAGCGTATGCAACTAATGTAGGAGGCAATACTATTTGCTTTCAGTTTATACTACTACATTTGCTTCTTTCGAGAAGCAACTATGCTTGCATAGCTTTGTTTCAGTTTGAAGTGTAGGATATGGTTGTAAAGTTACAGGATATGGAGGTATATCATCTTATTTGTCAATAGTATAGTTTAATATAGTTATTATGGAACAAAACCATAGACATTCAGAGCGTATGCTCTGACATCTATGATTTGGTTCGTGTATATAAGTAAAGATTACCATATTCTATTGAGTAGATAGACATCGTGCTACCAAATTATATAAAAAATAACTTTTATTTAAAAAAGAAGACCTCCATCTTGGCAAAACTTATATAAGATCTATATGAAAATATAACCTTATTTAATTTTTATATACTAAATTATATAAAAATTATAAAATTTACTAAAATATCATGTTAATGTAGTCACAAAAAGTTTGATAAAATGTTAGGAATAAATCGTCTCATTTATCTACTCACAACTTTAATCCATGAACATATTAATCAAAGGTATTTCTATCTATCTATCTATCTATGTCGGCTCTTGTATTTAAAACTTAATTATTAAACTTAATATTAATTATTAATTTTATTATTAAGTTAAATTTAAAACTTAACTTGCACGCATTACACGAACCAAGATTAAAATCTAATAAAAACGCAAATGGATAGTTTGACGACGTTGACAATTATAGTTAACGTAATACTCGATATGCGCGAACTACATTTAATTAATTAGTTTTTTACTTAATTTGTTGCGGTGTGGCTTCAAGACAAACGTGACTTAACTAGTAACAGATCTACTCGTATTTAAAACATGACGTAAAAGGTGTCAGTTTAAACCCCATTCATTTCGATTTCGTTTGCATGACGAGGATATGTTGTCAATGAATGTGAGGGAGTAGAAAGAAGAGACAAAATATACTTATATTTTCTACATAAAATAATTTAAAATAACAAGGCGTTATTTAGCAACTGGTGTAGTACCTAATTCGAGAGTTACAGTAAAACAGATACAATTATTTATATTCAACACACCCCCTGATGTAATCAGCAGAATGCAGTAGTAAAACGTGTATGTATTTGTAATAAAAAATATTAAATTTAATGAAAAATCCACAAGACATATTTTATAAAATACTGTCAACAGCCAGTATTAAACTCTAACATTAATAACATACATATGTTACTTTTTATTCTTCTCTATCTCAAATACTATATATTCAAAATTTCATAATATCTGGTTTAGCTGTTAAAGTGTCAAGAAATAACAAACTAACACACTCACGTATTTCATAGTCAGAGTTCAGTAATTATTATTAATTTACTATAATTATATTTCTACCTTTGAGTAGATACATAAAATCACTAGAATAAGGAAATAATTATTCGCAATTCCAGTAAATATAAATGTTGGAATTCGAATTAACAATGGTAACTTCATATGCATTTAGTTATTACAAAAGTTATACTATAGATGTTAAAATTAAGAGAGATGCGTGAAACAATCTAGAATTCTAGACCAACTCTAATGGAAACAGAAACTAACTTCTGTAGTGCACAGCACCCAAATGTATTCTGAATGCCTTCTACATTGAATTTTAGGCTGAGTGGAGTGGATTTTAAGATAAAATCATATTAATATCAATGTACATAGTCAGTATTTTTAGCAAATAAATCGTAAGTTACGTGTACGGCGAATACATTAACTACCTATAAAGATATACTTGTGAATGGAAAATATATATTCATCTGTGGCAATAGATAACTGAAATTATAACTGCATTAAAATGTAAACAAACGAATAATTTATTTTTATTAAAAAAAAAAACAGCCAATAAGTAATTCATACACTTAATTTAACATTAATATTTAATTTCCAATAAGTAACACAAATAAAAATCTATTAATATATTACTATTTATTAATTCATAATATATGTTTCGATTTATTATTAAAAACTACAGAAAGCCGAGTAGTCACGAACTTGTCTAGAATTAGTTGCATCCAATATAAAAGAATGGTTATGCCTCTAAAGAGAATTGAAATTGAGAATGGCGAGCTCGTTTTAAAAATCAACAAAGTTAGAAGAAAAAAAGTGAGTAGCAGTAGTTTGCAGACGACAGCGCGCTGACATTTTTAATACAATCTAATAATAAAAAAAATAAGTATTTCGTTATATATCATTACATATACATATATGAACATTAATGAAATAGTGTAAAGTAAAAATAGTGCTGTACTTGCAAAAATAATAAAAGGATTATTTCCTCGCGATTTTTTTTTTTATACAACTTAGAATGGCAAACACGCTGACGGCCCACCTGATGGAAAGTGATAACCGTCGCCTACAGACATGAGCAATACCATGGACATAACAGAGCATACTGTTTCGCCCATGATACCCCCATGCGGCGCCATTCCTTAGGACTCAGGTGTTATTTCTCTGTACCCAGTAAATTCACGCCATATCCTACCCTTCAAACTGAAACACAGCCATGCAAACACAATTGCTTCACGGTTGAAACACGAATGGGACCGAGGTACCCAAACATTCCAAGAAACTATCATTAATTGATCTTTTCCTTATTACTTCTGCTTTAAACTTTATAAAATCTATATATATTTAAAAAACATATTTTAGATCTAAATATGACAATTATTATAATATCTATATATTTAAAAACCGTATAACTTAGAAATCGTATAAGTTTCTACTTTTTATTTATGGGAACTATAAGTTTCCTAAAAATAATTTTATAAAAATAAGGTAAATAAGGTTATAAAACCTTTAAAACTTTTAGCGGTTAAAAGTATCTCACGAGCACAAACGATAACAAACATTGTTTCACGCTATCTATATTTATATATCAATTGCTTCTCCTTCAACATTAATTAATTAAAACCGAGTATAGTAAATGTAAGAGGTTCATTTCACTCATGCCATAGTTGCAGTTGTCGGCATCGCTCAGGGTATGCACTAACTGCAATCAGTCTGGGAGCGTGGCATTTCTCTACCAATTTGCCTGTCGACTACTGCATAAAAGCTACTCCTCACTCTCCGTACACAGACTTAGACAAGTTTCCACTGTGAACAAGCGCTAACTAGCCCGCCGATGTAGCTGTAGATAATGTGCTCAATTCGTCTCCTATTCAACCTCGGTTACGCCTGCTTTAAATAAACTACCAATGTATTACGTCCATTGTTTATTCACAGGCCAATTTTGCGTGGTACGTGTACGAATCTAATAAATTATTTATGTACACAGAACCTTTCCTTCACGAAGAAAGCAGATTAGTCTGCAGTTGACGGCTACGATTGATTTAAGACGTAATGTTATTAACGTTCTCTGTTGTTATTAGTCCCTTGTAACGACGCACCCACACTAGTTAGGTACCTACATAATATTATATGAATTGACTTTTGTTATATATAATTATTATTTCTATTCTCGACCAATTAGTTTGAGTATTATTAATTATACCAAGTATCGAAGCACCGGCTATAAGTTTTATCTCATTCTAGAGACACGAAAATCTTAAGAAAATCGATGTCTACTCGATCTGATTGTTCCTTAAACAAAGTTGATCTAAAATTATTGAAAGTACAGTTATGTTTATAATCTTATCCATTTTTTGTAACGTTAGCATAAAATTAGGGAACAAAGGATTAATATAAGTGTAAAATATGAGGTGAAAAATGTATACTTATAGAAATTGAAAGTCTCTTAGACTGATGTTAAGACGGCTAAATTGATACAGAAAAATACAATACTAGACTTAATGTTTTTATTTCCTTCTTTACATGCAACGAACGGTACTATCTACTACTCACACTTTTCTATTTATGAACAATATTTATAATTTTACTGCTGCAAATACTACATTATATCTCTAAAACGTATTTATCCGTATTAGCAAATTTATATAATCTCCCGTCTATTTTCTAAGTGGGAATTTTATTTCAGTTGTTATCGAACTATTATAAGAGAATAAAGGAGAGAACGAATAAAACAGTAATATCAGCGGTTTATACGACCCGCGGTCACACACTCATCTGTGACAAAGTAAGTGGCTTTTCAACTTCAACTGTGGGTGAACTCTCATCCATCGATAGATATTATTTCCACACTCATCCTTAACGTCAAGACTTAGTGGCTGCTAAGCACACCGTTCGCCTTGAACAAACTGAATTAGGAACGTTTTTCTTTATTTTATACGTCTCGCCCTCCGTGGAACGTCGAAGTGTTGAGTTATTGGACTTTATTTTATAAAACGATTTAGTCCCGAAGTGATTTTTATTTACTTTTCCACAAAACGCTTACCACCTTGTTGCTTCATATTCTATTTATATAAATAGAATGTAAGTCGGTTTATCCGATTATTTATGTCAAATGATATCACAATAAATAACTGATAATAATATAAATAAAATTAAAAATTTTAAGTAACGCTCCGGAAAGCTCATACAGATCTGAATCATATCAAACAAACAAACTGCATCATAATCGGCTCATTCGTTTAGCAACTACGATTTCTCAAACAAACAGATAGTCACACAAACTCGTCAAACTTATAATAATACCTTTCTTTTTGCGTCGGAGGTTAAAAATTAAAGACGTTCTGATGTATGTATTTTATTAAGTTTTATTATTTTTAAATTCTAGGTATATTAAACTTAGATCAATGTTAATGGAAGATAGCAACAGTAGTTAAAGCCAATAATACTTGGAAGAAAATGTTGCAAATTAAATGTATAAAGATTTAACATTAATATTTAATGATATTTTCGAACATTCAAGTATCCTAACTATTGGATAGAAAAATTTTACCCTCCAATAGGGGTTCTGATAGTAAGTCCTTTACATGTTACTTCTATAATTGGAATCGCACTCGGCAAGGATAATTGAGATGCAAACTAAAATTTTGCCGAATCGAATCACTATCGGAAGGTTAAATTTTGAATCAACTATATACGATTCTATGATACTCATACCATACATTTGATACAGATAAAACATAATAAGTTAGTCAAAATAATAATTAAACATAGTAATCTGTAAAGGCCATTTGGAAGATATATATTTCACTCTGTCGGCATATACGACCGTGGTAAAGAACTTGAATGGAAATGTCGGCCTTGAGCATAACTCACAATTATTTAGCCATATTATAAACGTATCGTGGTCGACGTCGTGTATTTTTTCTACCGTATGTAATTCTGTCGGTGTTTCCTTTTCATTAAGTTTCCACGCACAATATTGTAGGGCGGTCATAAACTCGGACCGAGGTGCCCGTACAACAGCAGCGGCAGTTACCCGATCCTACCAGCACAGAGTAATGAGACTAGAGGAAAAATTATACGTTTAATGAAATGAAAGTACTTTCTCCTTTCAGGATACCTAAAGCAAACATTGATCGCACGACGAACTATTTGCTTTGTTTCTTGTTTTTATTTGTTTTCATTAATATGAGTCAAGTAAATAGCCGATCGTGAAAATACGCTACATTCAATTAGTGCTTCATACAATCCGACGTCTAAGGCAATATGTATTTTTGTCAACTAGTAATATCACGTATTTCGGTGTAGTGATTACTTACTTAGTGGCGTAATTGTAGTAGTACGAGTAGAGTACAAATGAACTAGGTACCTACTCACATATTAGGTAGTAATTTATTATAGTGTACTACTTAATCACGTAAACTTTCTGCAAAACCTTACCAAATAAAAATCGTATTATACTTGTTCAGACTTTTTGTTTTTATTATAATATTGTTACAACAATAATAATTATTCTTTATAAAATTGTAAAACATGAGACATTATGATGTGATCCCTTCTAATTATGCTCAAACTCGTCAAAGAGAATTTTTCTGCTGAGAATAACAAATAAAGCTATCAAAACAGACTCCTCTTCCACTGGCGTTGACTCTGCTCACGATGTCATGAGTCAGTATCCGGACTTCGGTATATTATAATATATTGGAAACTTTTCGAGTTTCCCAGAATACTGATAACTTATTTAGAAAGTGTCCAGTAATTAAATTTTACTGTTTTGTATATTGTGATTCCTATGCGAGCATTGGGATACTGTCAAACTCCCTTAGTTGGTAAATATAATAAATAAGTGATAGACACTATTAGAATGACTCTTTTAAAAAAAATACTAGCAACACTATGAAAACACCTCTTACAAACTATAAGCAGCTAATAAGAACTACAATCCAACGATGACAGTGCTGACACCCACGTTACAAAGAAGTCGGGCTACGATGTAACATAGAATCTACGTACATGAAATTACGGGTTAGGCAATCCCCAACGTGTTTTATTTTTAAAACTAGAAACCAAAATAAACAGAGAAAAACGGGACAAAACCTTTAGGGTACTGCCGATTTCTTTATCTTAAGCATACGAGTACAGTTCAAAGCGTTAAATTGCTCATTGTGACTTTTTTTACTTAGCAATCAATTCATCATACCATATGATGTCTCCGTACTGGGCAATGGAAGCAGTTGGAGAAGCCCAACTGCTTTAAACTTATATGATCACTAGCTAAGCCATATCAGACTTTATGAAAATAGTCGCAATCGTACCTACTTAATATAAATATTACATAAATAATAATTAAAGGATGACAAAATCGTAATAATGTAAGTCATGTTCATGAGAAAATAACTGAACCTACTTTAACAAAATTTTATAGTAATAGAACAGTTTTTATATCATTGTGGCAAACAAGCATACAGCTCGCCTGATGATAAGTAGTTACTGCAGCTTATGAACTCCCGCAATACCTGAGACAATATGCGCGATAAGACAATATAAATTATTACCTAATTATAATACGTACTATAATACTACTTACTAATTTTGTATACTTAATTATTTATTATAACAATATTATAAATTAAATATTTATTTCAGTAGATTACGAAAACATAAATTTTCAAACGCAACTCAACAATACCGGCAGAATTACGTTTCCGTAATCAAGCATTGCTGAGCTAGTACTACAAACTTTCAGCTTTTATCAAGTATGTACTCAAAATTTTTTATCAGCTCTCAGGCTATTCATGTTATAAAAACGAAAATATCTATTATGAAAGAGTGTAGCGCTTACAAAAATGTTCAAACAGAAATTATTGTTTACACTCTGTATCTTATTATTTTATATTGCAATTGATTGCAATTAAAATGTTTTAACGCATTTTATACCAAATATAGAGCATAACAAAGCATACTGCACTGGCTGGCGATGAATTAAAAGTAATGGAACAGTTAATTTCTCATGAGAATTAATCTTCACACCTCCTCTGTACATTATCCACCCCTTCAACGCTTAGTCTCATTTCGCATTTCTTTCTATTTTTGCATTCTTTCTAGAATTGTTAGAAAATTGAGTAATTCTAACTCAATTTCTTTAATTAAAATTTAAAAGTACAAAAACAAAAGTTAAAAAGTACTGTTTAAAGCAAAGACTTCTTAATGACCTTTCAACCGCATTGTAAAATTAAAAGTAAAGCTATTAACATTGTTTTTCATTTCAGAACGCAGTACCGCCAGTCTTCACTTCTCTACTAGTTTATACAGTGTGGTCATTCTCTCGAGGCGACTTCAAACCCTCTCTTTGATTCAAATATTCTCGCAAGATATTCTTGTTTCACGACATAAAGCGAAAATTCCACTTTAATGTAATGTCTATTTCATATTGTACTTTAAATACACATCTATATACTTTGTTACCAAGTCGTTGTTCTGTTCAAACGGAAAAGGCGAAAGTTAATTAAACCCTCTGAATTACACCTACCTCAGAATCTTCATTTAATCAAATGCTGGCTGGCTGGCAAAATTTTAACCGTTATGCGTATCTTTAGCAAATTATAGTTATAATTCTGTAAAGAAAAAAACAATTATTATTCATTTTTAAAACAAAAAAATTAATTTATCATAGATGTATAACCTGTATTATGTTTAGATTATACAAATATACGAGTATACGCTATTGTCTAACGAAGAATAAAATTCAATAAAGAAATCATTTATTACAATATACCATTTTACGGTAAACTATTATCGTCACAAGGTAACAACAGCAAGAAAAGTAATAAAACCAAATTATTAAGGTAATCATTAGAGACTATTAATAATGTAAAGGCAATTATATTTTTAATCGTTGAGTTCTCATTTATTTTTCTTTAAATTTTAGTTATTAAAAAAAAAAATAATCACACAAATAGAACAATGTCTTTAAATTATAACTGTCATGGGATACTCTCATAAATAACCATTTAATATAAAACTTTTTTCTGTTAACGAATTTTTTCAATAGTTATATTCTAAAGATGTATAGATGAATTTTATGAAGTGAGTAGTGAGTTCGTTGCCTCGCAAATAAGAATCCGAGTTCCATTATCGGTTGAGAAAATAAAATTGTCAACTTTAACAAGAACTTTTTTATTTGCTCGAATCCAATTGTTCTAGGATTTGTCCGTTGTTGTTACCTAACAACTGCTACTCGTATATTTACTACAGCTGTATGTAATCCATAGTAGATATTTAAAAATATAATTTTAAGTCATTATCCTAGTACATACTGATTTTATGAATATTGTAATACATCTGTCCACGACATACCATTCAAATCGGCTTCAGTGTCAGATTAGAAATCACCTAAAGCATCTAGACATCCAAAAATGTTTATAAAGTTACACATTTTATAATACTAAGCAAAAGTTCCTACTTTTACTCATATTATAAAATTTTTATATCTATTTATTATTAATCAAACTTAAACGACTAAATGACTTTAAATGGCATTTGATGCCTCAAACAGACAGAAGTTAAAGGTGTGTTATAATTCAAAAATAGAAACTTACTTATTTAATTAAATAATTAGTAGTTTACTTGCAAGTACAGTTTCACGAAATCTATTTATTTATATATTTCTCACCACACTTACAGTATCCCAAAACGTATGTAATAAGCCATAGGGTTATTTTACAAACTTAAACTATTGAAATAAATAAAAAATTGTATTTTCAAGGCTGAATTAAAAAAACACACAAACAATAAAGACATAAATAGATAAAATTTTAACAATAATGGTAACAATCTAAACATATTGAATAAGTGAATTATTTATTTTTCTCTTTACAAAATGTAGTAAAAGGTAACAGCTTGAAATAAGATTAAATATATGAGACAAGTTTTGTAAGAGACTAGTGCCTGCAGTAGTAGATTTTGAAAAGACCTGTGTTACAAGTTACCAGCGGGGTACTGGTGACTTGTATGGACTAAACAATATAAGGCAATAAATTAACATTACAATAGACAGATAACTACAAATCGGCTAAAATTATAAGAATAAACTTAACATTAAAACTTATTGCAATTATAATTTAGGTAAAGTTATTTATAAATTACAGACTGTATGTGTTTGTGTGTGATAGAGAGAGAGAGAGAGAGTACAGATAAAAAGAGAGAGTATGTGTATGTATATACATATATATTATACTATTATTATTATTATTATTATTATTACCAAAGGAAGACATTTACTGGGTACCTCTATCCCATTCGTGTTTCTACCTTGAAGTACTTGTGTTTGCATGGTTGTGTTTCGGTTTGAAGGGTGGGACATGGCAGTGAATTTACATGGTACAGAGGAATAACATCTTAGTCCTCAGGAATGACAATGCATGGGAGGTATCATAGGTGAAACAGTATACTCTGCTATGTCCATGGTACTCATGTCTATAGGCGACGGCTACCACTTTCCATCAGGTGGGCCGTTAGCTTGTTTGCCATTCTAAGTTATATAAAAAAGGTACTGACATATTAAATACATAGGCAATTACACACTTAGAACTTAGAATTTAAAAATGTGAATTGTAATATATAAATGAAATAAGCATTAAATAAACAATAATAATAAGTTGGACAACAAATTAGTTTAATTGAAGTATCAATTAAACTAATTTGTTGATGTTAGAAACTTGAGTGTATCCACTCGAGCCTTGCGCTCTGCGCGAACTTCGATGGATCATGCTGTCCTAACTTCGGACAAGATTTCAAAGTTAGCTAAACTATAACTTTATTGCATACTAATAAGAAATGCGTATCAGTAATAAACTTAAACTGAGTTTGAATTGTTTTCATTTATAAATCAATATAATCGAAATCAAAATCAAGACTCATAGAAGTATAGACTCAAGTAGTAAATTATATAGACACTCAATGAGTATTACTGATTACTTTTAAGAAGATTCTCAATTTGTATTTATTTTTATATATTACGCGATTTTTTTCCCATTTCTGAATCGATTTTAATACGTAGGTACTACCCATACTTATTAAGAAAATTCATGGACTAGGTATAGGTATATTTCACAACCCTCAATGTCATTAACATTCTATTGTGTATAATATCCCGGTTTATAAGCGTACATGCCTTGAAAAATAATAAGGATCCTCTTAATATAAAAGAATCAGTAGGTATTTACTTGCTAATAGCGGGGGAAAAGTATTGTTAGTAATGAACTTTAGCTGCTTTTTTAATAGCAATATGCACTGTTAGGCTGACCTCCACGCGGTCTCCCCTGGAAACCATCGTGATTAATATCAGGTAGTTTTGATTTTTTTTTTATTTTATATACTGATTTACAGTTGTATTACCTCTGTAATATTTTTTAATATCATCTTCGTGGTAGTCAGAATTGACCTACTTTCCTGATCACAATTTTTATACCTCATAACCTCTACAATAACAACTTTTATCTATAAAAAAATTTACTTCTAGTTCTATGATTTTACCTAGTGTCTAATTACATAATCTTGATTTTTTTTATCTTCAGTATATTTAAAGAAAATTCGTTTAGCCGCGAGCTATATTTAATTCAAATCTGTAAAACTATTTTATGAGTAATTGTGAGTGATTCATAACCTAGATACTAAACATTTTTAATATTTTAATAGTTGTGTTTGTACCTGTTCCTATCACTTTAACAATAAGCACATTTCAAAATTTGTAGAGATGTTAGTAATTTAGTCATTAATCTAGTTTTGCAGCACATAAAGTCTCTCATAAAATTCACTAAATCCTCGTCAGTAATATAAGAACGATCCACGTTATTTAATCAACATCAAATTCAATCCACAAAATTAATTTCGGCGCTCTCATCTCATACTCGAGCAAACAAATATCAACCCGCTGAACTTAGACAATATTCCGCCCACGTAGTCCCCGCAACTATAATAACTGTGGGTACAAAGAAAGGCAACGAAACACAAAACTTGTCTATGTACTGTTTTGTTAGTTTGAGCAACGAAATGCCTAAGAAAATTCCAACACAGAGCAACTCACATCGTCTTTGAGTGGCTAAACCAATTTCTATAGCAAACTTATATCTACCTAAGAAGTAAAAATTTTTAAATTGATTGATATTGGTAAACACTAGACACATACTTAAGTTTTATTTGTATTACTTTCATTATTTTATATTTTTACTCATTTAAATTTTATAAAAAGAGAGGAGATTTTATTAAATTGTCTAACATGATAGAGGTAAAAACAGAGCAAATAATTACCACGTTATACGTAAAAGTACTAAGATATACTTTTTTTAATGCATGATAATGGAATGGTAACCTCACTTGCGCTATCATTAGAGCTTTAATCCTCATGAATAACAACGCTTGAAGGGTATCATACACAACACAGTACATCTCTGTCCATGGTAATATTAAAATCTATAGACGACGATTATCGCTTACCATCAGTTGGGCTTGTTTACCATTCTTAGTTGCAATAAAAAAAATCATATTAATCATTTTTTATACCACAAAGGTGGCAAACAAGCATACAGCCCGTTCGATGGTATATGGTCACTGTAGCCTAGAGACACTTGCAATACTATGGGTGCCACGTGCGCGTTGCCGACCCTGAAAAAACCTTAATATACCCTTTTTAAGAAACCCCATACTGTAATCTCTAGGGAAAACGTCGACAGGGAGCTCATTCCATAGCCTGGAAAAACACATCGTGAACACATCGTGGGAGAAAATTTCTCTGAAACGTCAATCTTTATGTACAGTAACATTTATTTAAATAGAGGGTATGGATAATATTGAGCAGTTTGTATGAGAACCGGTTGTCTCTGCTTATGTCATATGACAAATATCACCTCGAGACAAGCCTTTAATCTAGGAATTAACTTATAGCACTAAGTCCACCTTTTGTACCACATTTTATTGGTCAATAAAGTTTAAATAAATAAAATTAGATGTCAATATTAGACATTAATCTACAACTCGAAGTACATTAGATACCATCGCTCGCGTAATTGAATGACTATAAAATTTATTAATATCTTTCTTCATCATTATTCCAAAATTTGTTGCTCTGAGTCTAAGTTTAGATAGATTTTAATATAAAAAATGTCTGACTCCAAATTAAATATCGATAGATATATATAACGCTACTTCGTAAATCACTAAGCTCGGTATTAAAACAATTTTGACATCATTCTTATTTTTTGTAAGTTTTATTTAAGAAGTTTAAGTATACTTTCATAGAAATGACAGGTATTTTGTAAAAGTTGTGGAGCCTCTCCAACGATAGAAAGTATGTGAAAAGGTCAATCAATTGACTCCTACATAAGCGTCATACGTGACGTCTTATTAGCTATTCTATATACATAAAAGATTACATATAGATATAAAAGTGTATTGCTGAGAGGTTTCATAACACGATCTAACTGTACCTGACACGACTGTATCTTGATACACTTTGACTGAAGTTTTCACTCCTTTTTCGCAAATATGTAGTTATGTGACTCCTTGATAAGATACGCCCCACTAAACTATCACTGACGCAGGATGATGACCACGTTGTACCTTTGCGACTACTTGAGCAGCTTCTTTAGAACTGTGAGCTTACACTTTATCATTTTACTTATTGTAGTGTTCTTCAATCGTGAAAATTTTTTCATCGGTAATGAGGATATTTCTGTACCTTTCACCTGCGCATCCCGACAGAATGCGTTTTAATCGATCCACTCTCTTTAATTGTAAAGATTGATTTAGAGCATGTCCTGTATATCGACAATAAGCACCGTGCTTCAAGTCTTGTTTTATAATACGCGACAGAGTCCTAACGGGAACCTTCATTTGTCGCGATAAGATTTTTTGCTTCCTAATGAGATCTTGACGAATTCTGGCTTTAACAGCATAAACAGCCTTTGTAGTTCTAACAGCACGCGGCTGTCCCGATCTTTTCTGATTTTCGACAGAAGAGGTGTTGTTATATCTGTTGATAGTACGATATACGAATATACGGCTGATATCAAGCTTTTGAAGTGTCTGGAATATGACCGTCAGCTCCATACACACTTTGTGCTAGGCGATCACTGCAATCCTGTTTTCTTTAACACCCCATTCCATATTGTAAATTGATAAAAAAAAACACGAAAAAATATGTAAAATAGCGCGAAATCGAAAAAAGTTTTTAAAACAATAAACATATTCCAAATTCAAAATAATTAAAAAGTTTAAAAAAAGAAAAGATTTTATTAATAGTATTTATGGCCAGACTAGTTATAATAATGATTCGCTATATAATCGGAGATCACAACAATCTAACTATTTATTATTAACTAAATCACTCGGTTTTCTCCGTTTAATGTCTACGAGGTTTGTCCGGAAAGTACGTATAAAAGTTTTTTAAAAATTTTATTTTACAATTATTCAGGTAAATCAATTTTATCCCCTTCAAAGTACTCCCCCTGTGACATAATGCACTTGTGCCAACGCCGTTTCCACTGTGAGAAGGCTCCTTGAAAGTCCTCTGGTTGTAGGTTTCTCAGCTGCCCCGTCGTAGCTTTTTTTATCTCATTTATGTCCCCCAAATGCCGCCCCCGAAGTACCAATTTGGTTTTTGGGAACAAGAAGAAGTCACACGGGGCCAAATCCGGCGAATAGGGGGGGGTGTTCGGTCACCGTAATGGAATTTTTACTCAAAAACTCACGGACAACAAGAGAGGTGTGGGCAGGGGCATTGTCGTGGTGAAGAATCCAACGCCCCTCTCGCGCCAATTCTGGACGAACTCGTGCCACACGAGCTTTGAGGCGTCTGAGCACATCGACGTAGAATTTTCCATCAACTGTCTGGCCTGGAGGGACGAATTCTTGATGGACAATCCCCCGAACATCGAACTCTTTCTCGGCCCTCTCTGAATCTTTTTAGCCACTTGTGGACGGTTGGTTCCTTCACAGCATCATCCCCATAAACTGTTCTGAGATCGGCAAAAATTTCACGGCCATTCTTGCCGAGTTTCGAGAGAAACTTGATTACGACGCGCTGCTCTTCAACGGAAGCGGGCTCCATGCCGACGGGGTTTCGTTAAGAGGTAACTTCACAGATGGCGTGACAAGCCAGTTCGCACCGCATGGCGGTCAGACCAGAACTGAAGCATTGTTAGGGACATAAGGAAGGGGTCCTGCGCTTACCTGGCCTCCCCACTCCTCTTTCTCGCATTCCAGAACACTTTTATACGAACTTTCCGGACAGACCTCGTATATTACCCGAAATTGTAATAAAAAGAAACATCAGACAGGGTAAATAGAAAAATTTACTAACGTTATTTAAATACGTAAGTAAGTACTCTTACTTATTTGTATTATATTGGGCACTAAATATATGTAAACAAGCTTAACATGTTTTTTTTTTATATGAAAAAAAAACAACTAGAATAAAAAAGTTATACACAAAATAATTTTCTCACTTATTAACGTAATTATATAGTAACATTTTATTAAGTTGGGAAAAGCAAATTTAATAACCCTAAATCTTTTCTCCTTATAAACATTTTTATTCACCCCTTAAGCGTTTTATTTCACCTCCTTGACACCTACTATTCCCTTTCATCATTTCTATCAACATCTCAAGCAATTCGAATCACTCCATTTTTTATTTTGTATATATCTTTATGTAATTATTTATTTATTTTAAACAATATTTATAACTTGCCTTTTATATGTCTATAAATATAAATATGACTATTATTTACATGTGTGGCGTATATATATTGTATATATAACAAACCTTTATATATAATTAAACCTTTTGAATTTCTGTAGAAAAATAAATTATGAATAACGCATACGAGGTTGCGCGCGCAGTATTAATTGCAAATTGTCATTCTTTTTAAAAATATATAGACGTTTGAACATTGAATTAAATATTTTATTTACTCATTTCCCATACATGCTTCAAAATATATAGACTGCGAAAAACAAACTACGATTGAAGCACAATGTTTTTAATTCAAAATATGCATTCTTGCACAATAATTTTTAAATTACATTTTGACAAAGATTTGATCTAAAGTTTTGACATAGATTGAAATGTTATATGTTTAGCATTCAATAATTATTGTTTAAAAAATATAGACGTTTACATTAAAAAATATCATTTTACCAATTAGCAAGCATAGTAAACATTGAAAAAAGGCCCTAAAATTTCTAGATAAGATTTTTTTTCTATTAATGCCGCGAAATCGATTAACCCCGTTTTAAGTAATAGACAAACTTACTTAGTTTTATATTAATATTAGTACGGATAAAATTATCCGTAAGAAAAAAATATGTATTGCCACTGTCTATTATCCCTCGAATATAATAAGAATCAACTACGAAAACAAAGCACACTACCGTGTAAAAAAATAAACTAGAAATAAAACCCTATACCAATCCTATTATTGGCAATATACCTTCTTAGATCGACCTCCCGTGGTATCCCTGTAAACTTTTGTGATTATTTTTTAACAAATTGTATTTATCACCATCATCTAAATAACCAGCTTTCATCCTTCCTTAACGGAGATAAAAAAATTATTAGTAAAATAATCTAATAACCCTATTGCTAGTAATATATCCTATTAAGCCAATTTCCACAAATCCTCTTGGAAACTATAGTAGTTAGTTCTTGAATTCGTCAGTATAACCCAACTACCAACCACTTATAATCAGGTGGGCCGTATGCTTGTTTGCCACCTCAGTGGTATAAAAAAAACTAACTCGCCTCTATCGTCACCTATCACCACTCACTGATGCCCCGCCAATACGTACTGATAATGCAAACATGGCCACTATTCTGTTTTCACCTATAAAAAACCCTCACTAGTACGGTACCAGTGGTACTCCAATGTATATTAGAAGCATAGACGGGATTATCATTTCATTTTCATCCCACAAAAAATAGCTCAGAGAATCACACGCCCTATGCTAAAATAAGCTCTATGGTTATTTTAAACGTTACTCTACTCTTGCACTTTGCGACTCCACTGCCTGTATCACACAGCAAGGACGGGAGTAAATACCAACCCAAACCAAATCTTAAAAAAAGCACTATATAAAGAAGTTATAAAGAGGTTTGCAAGTAATTTTAAATATTATTGTTTTTGTAATCTCAATTCTTAATTATCTTGCCAAAACAATCGATAAACCATAATAGTTGATTATTAAGCAACACTAGTAAACCATAAAGTGACAATATTTTTTTAATATTTGTCAAGTATATGTCAGTGTCACTGTCATGTCATATTTGTCAAAAATGTGGTTGTGTCATAACAAAATATTCCCTATTGTGACTGACAGAAATGAACGACAAATTAACCGAGTATTCAACGTAATAGAAAAATTATATGAAATAATTTGCTTCGTTTGCTGTCATGTTTTGACCTTGCTTGACTTAAATCCTCTTGGAATAAATCAGTGTATTTCCTCCTTTGGTCTATATCTATCGTTCCATGTAAAAACATCAGTTTTAAAGGTAAGAGCTCTATTTTAGTCTTATCACTTCAAAACTGTGAATATCTAGTTTATATTCTAATGATTGTTTACATTAAAAAAAATGCATATAAACATATTTTGCCGTTACTAATGTGTCTGTGATAATTACTGGTCAAACTGCTTTAGACTCTAGACTATGATTACAGGTGATTAACTTTGTTGTTTAAACTAATTTGTGTAATAATGCAAATAAGCAAAGAAAACAATGTATTATATTGTTGAAAATTTTAGAAAGTATATACACAACATTGTAACAAATATAAAGGTTGAAGTGATGTAGTCTTCCATAACAAAGTATTCATTTCATTACTCAACTCTTGGAACATACATTCACTTTCTTATATATAAACATACCAAACATTTAGTAAACCTATTTAACTTAATTGTCTGTCTTTATTAAATTCTCAATATAAAAAAATAACAAAATAGTTTAATAGATATAAATCGTCATGGAATATTATAACTTTTATGAATAAAAATGTTGGTTAGAAATATATATTGGTTATATATATTACATGTTAACTAATATAAATATTTTTATAAAATTGCATCTTACAAATAAAAAAGTTCTATAGAATAGAATTAATATACCTAAACTGGACTTACATAAATTGGAAATATCATACTAAATTAACTAAATCAATAGACTTTTATATTCTGAATTCATAATTTAGAGACAGACTTGAAATTGAGTCTACATCACAAAAAATGTCCAGTCATTCTGAATAGACTTGCTGTCATGCAGAAATTATTTTACATCATTAGAAATTAGAACAATAATTAGACTTGCCTATTATATATTATTTTGGCTCTTAACTGATTGAAAGTGGTAACCGTCGCCTATAGACATGAGCAGTACCATGGACATAACAGAGTATACTGTTCGACCCATGATACACCCCATGTGTTGCCATTCCTGAGGACTCGGATGTTATTCCTCTGTACCCTCTAAATTCACGCCATATCCTTCCCTTCATACTGAAACACAGCCATGCAAACACAACTGCTTCACTGTAGAATGTAAAATGGTAGAAACATGAATGGGACAGAGGTACCCAAACAGGGACAAACCTGCAACCATGAGAAGGTAAAGCAGTGTACTAAACTGCTACCTACACTATTCCCTCTTGTTGCACTGGTATACTGTTCTTGTTTTCTTTAATTACTTCTTACAACATACTAGGAATGAAAAGGAGAGGTACATATTGTATTTTTGCTCCATCACTATTATAAGAACTAATTACAATCAAATCAAATCAATATGAATTAACTGCTATATTATATACTAACATCCTGTTTATAGTAAGGATACTAATTATTTAATGTATTTTTAATAAACTAGGTGAGGACAAAAGCAGGTCCATGATGGCAAATTTATCAAGAATAAACCTAGATGGTTTTTTAAGAGAACTATGTGAAGGTTGACCTGATAAGGTTTATTGCCAGAATGGGTACCATTAGGCCTACTTACTAATGCTACCTGAACCTTCATTGAGGGGGGATATTTTTTTATTATTATTATTTATTTTATTATTTTGGCCATTAACTTTTCACTGCTGAAACATAAGCTTTCCCTATAAAGAGAGTTTTGCCAGTAGTTGCCACGCTTGGCAAGTGGGTTGGCAACCACCGTTAGACTTTTATAACAGAGGTTACCAGAGGGAGACAACACAGAGGGTATCATGGGTGAAACAGTATACTCTGTTATGTCCATGGTACTGCTCATGTCTATAGGCGACGGTTACCATTTTCCATCAGGTGGGCTGTCAGCTTGTTTGTCATTCTAAGTTGTATAAAAAAAAAACAGTTATATAAGGAAGATTATATAACTATAGGTGTATAAGTGCCTATATAATGTAACTAATGTAGATGGGCTTAATGAGATTTCTTACTCGAATGCTAAAGTTGCATGTACGAAAAAATACCGCCTTGTCAATGACCAGTGCCCCGTCCCGGTTTATTACAGTTAAATAAAAGATATCTAATTCTTTTACAAATAAAATACAATCTGTATTACTAGTTGATAATATTGTTTTCTATAGGTGAAAGAATTTTTTAAATCTGTTAAGTTTGAATTGTTTAAATTTTGGTCTCCATTGCAATAAAAAAATAACATATTTTTTCTTTATAATAATTTATAATTTAAAAGTATAGGCAAGAAGCATTTGAATACCACTAGTTAAACAACGGTATTTTGGTTTACTTCATGTATGTCATACCTACAGGCAGACAATGAAATTCTGTTTTGGCCATTAGCTATGAAACCCAAACTTCCCATTCCAATGGTGATAATATATCTCGTGTTAACGGAAACAATATGAATATTTTAAACTGTTTCAAAACGAAAGGGTACTATGACATTAATTTCAAAACATGTCTCATTCATAACCCACTGCGGATAATAAAAACGTCTAGTTTCGTGAGGGAACACTTCCTTTGGAGGATTGTGGTACAGTGCCCAGAGGCACAGTTATGGCTTTATGCCAACAGACGGCTAATGTCGTATCCGAATAGTACTACGTCACGTATTACCAAAACGATCAGAATCTGATACCGTATGTAACGAAACGGCGACTGCTTAGGGGCAATTGCGGAAGTTTATGATTGTCATAGTATACTTTTATTGCAACAATGCAGTAGTTCTCTCATGTACGAGATTATCGATTTACATTGTTATTGGATGTTTCCAGTTGCTCTTGAATTGTAGAAGAATAATAGGCATTGTTATTATTTTTTCCGCGTATTAATTTAGGATTACGGGTAACAGAAATATCCTTGTTATATAAGTAACTGAAGGCTTAAAGTCGCTCAGCAAATAATGGATTCTGTTTTCTTGATAGGACTGAAATAAGATATGATATTCGCAAAAGAATTAAAATATCGATGTATCCTTAAGATCGACGACCTGACATTATGCTCGTAGAATTGACAACTGATGAGCAAATTTCTTTAGTCACGATTCCGTATCTATTAAGGGATGATAGTCGAGAATGAAGCCGATCAATTGGCCCATCTTGACGAATTCAAAAATAGTTAACTACAGTGGTTTCCAAAGGAAATCTCGTAGAGAACCTGATAGGATATATTGCTAGCAATAGGGCAGAGACCCCATTACCAACGACTCTTTTCCTCTCTGCATTGTGCATTTTTTTTTTAATAAATGATAATGTAGTGGTCACCACTCTTACGTTATCGTAATACGCTGACAAGGCACCAGTGAGGGATGATAGGTGCGGATGAAGCAGGTTGGTTGGCCTATCGTTATGAATTCATTAAAAATTAACCAATATGGTTTCCATGGGAAGCCGCGTGGAGGTCGACCTGTTAGAAGCTATATTGCTAGTAATGGGTCGATTAGATCTCACTACTAACAATGCATTGTGCATTTGCTTGTATTATCTTGCGCTCACAAGCTGTCACTAGATGAAGCAACGCCTTCAAATATATTACAAAAAGTTGAGAGAATGAGTCAAGCACGTTATATGTAATGATTTATGTAAGATTCATACAACACAGGACCGTGAAAAGTTGAAATTTGATATATAAAATTCTTGCAAAATATGTGCATTTCTATTTTTCTTATATAAACTTGAAGATTATCCCATTAAAGTCCATTTTAGAGATCTCACTCACACCAGTTTCACATCATAACTTCTCAGATGTCTTCACCGAGATATGAATACATCAATCATCGTACATACGATGTAAAATCAGATATGAAACGACTGATGCTCAAATTCTCATTTCTCTTTTTATTTTTATTAAAAATGTTATTTTATAATACTCGATAATATATTTGAGTTAAAAATGTATGGAAACCTAGCGGTCCGTGTAAAAGAACTGAAAGCTTTTATGAGTACCTACGTTCTCCTATTCGTACGGGATATTATGAAATGCAGACTATTATAATTTAATAATTAAAAAATATAATTGTTAAAAATATCGTATAACATGTATACAAATAAATTTATACATTAAACAACGAATCGCAATATATATTATGGCAAATAAGTCCTTTGTTTTACCTATAGATTACATTTAATACGCTTTGTGTTGTGTATCCAAACATTTTGTGGGGGCAAACGATTCTTTTGTAATGAAACGTTTACCTTATAATTCAGACAAATGTGTTTTTAGTGTGACTTTTCTTTTCCAATGCCTTTTTGGGGTCTGTATTCGTTATAGATATACGGTATACTACTTTATAAAATGCTCACGGTTTTTCCACCGTCAACTTAAGTGCGTTTTAATGAAATTTTCATAAACTGAAGTACTTATCCAACTCGAGAAGTTCTGAATATCTGAGCGTTTCTGTTAAATACTAATTTTATTTTTAAATTGAGTTTGGACATTTTCGGAATTGTTTGATCATTTCCAGTTGATTCCCACAGAGTAGAGCCTTAGTTAAAAGTTAAAATAAATTCACCGACTAAGTCGTTTATAAAATTGAAAGCTTTATAGAATATTACTTGTATTATTATTATTGTAGGTGACATCGCCATACATTTGTATACACAGATAAATATAATATTAGTACGTATGCGTAATTAATTATACTTACCTGCATATTCGCACGTTCATATTAACAATATATAATTCAAAATTTTACTTAAAAAAATAGCTATCATTTCGCTTTTGTTCGTAATAAAATTTATATGAAAACAAAACCTATCAATTGCAAAATATATTATAAAATTCTTTTTGCAATCTTTCTTCAATTCTAACGTAAAGTATTTCATATGGCGTTCTTTCATAAATTGAAAATTCTATAGTACTAATTTTTCAACGGCGAACTTTCTAAATATTTAATTAAAATCTAATTTCTAAATATTAAATTTAATTAAAAAAAAATAGGATTTAATTCCACAAAAAATCAATAATGATAAAATTTGTATTGCGTATGAGTATTGTGTACACTAAATCTACTTTGAAATAATGAAATACTAATAACGTTTGATACACATTGAAAATTACAGTATT